TTTTGTTTTTAACTAAGATTTCATGTTTATATATGTACATAAAAACATTTTAAATTTCTTTCATAAATATATTTTTATTTCAAGTTAATGTTTCATTGCAGCTGTACATAATTGAATAGTCACAGACAGTTATTGCACATGTAATAGCAATTTATGGTGTTTAAAAGCAAGTTTATCCTCATGCTTAACTCGGAAAACAACGAGTCATGGACAAATTTAATTTCATAAAGAACTAAATTTTTTGTCTACTAGTGTTTCATACAGCCACTACACTAAATGTAGTGATTCTTGTGATGAGGAGAAGAGTCAGAAGCTGAAGACAATTCTCAAACAATACTTTGAGAGTGATGAAAGTGAGAGCTTTTCTATAGTAAACACAGAACATTGCAATATGGTATGTATCAAAGTCAAAATCTGATTTACAGTTATATATATATATATATATAATAATAATACTTCTCATTAAGGTTCATTATATGGTGTGCATTAATATAAAGTATTAGTTATTAGGCTTGCTTATATTAAATAATATGTATTAGATTTATCTAGAATTGATGCTTAAACATACAATAAGTCAATCAAATTATAACTTTGTTTTGGGAAGAATATTAGAGTAACGGTTTCAGTTAAAACAAAATCCACAATTTTTCTTTTCATAAACTAATCCACTTCTAACAAAGAAATGATGTTGTTATGTTTTCCAATCAGAATTTGTCTATATACTAGATATCATTCAAACATTTGTTCCGTGTGAAATAAATACCACACAAGGTAAGATCGGGAGTATGTTAGTACTTGTATTGATGTTTCAACACCTCTGTATTTAACTATCTGCTTCATTTTTATATTACTACCATAAAATATGTCTTTTGTGTCATCTAGAACTTTCTAAAAACATACCATTTACTCATGAGTGTTTCATTTAATTAATAACTACAAAGAATGGAATATTATTGTCAGTTTTTAGAAAAGTTTTAAAAATCTTTTTTTGTCTTCTGTAGATACTTAGTACTTTTTGTTAGCACTTTCTCTAGGAAAGTAAAAATTGCTGATAATGGTTTCATACATTTAAGGTATCAACTAAGAAATATATACCTGCACTAATTTTCAAATATGTCCCAACATTTTATAGATTGAGAAAATCCCAGAAAATGAAATCTGTTGTGACATACAAGCTTTTATAAACATACATCATGATGAGAACTTCACAGGTAGAGCAATAGCAAGAATATTTCATGGAATTTCGAGTCCACGCTATCCTGCGGAGGTTTGGGGTCGTGTGAAATTTTGGCGAAGATACTTAAATGTGGATTTTCATCTAATTCAACAACTTGCAAGCAAGGAGCTGCTACGAATGAAAGATTTGTGACATCTGTTTAAAGACAGACAAATTTTAAATAAAAATTAAATTATAATAAATTTTTCTAGAAAACCTGTAAATATTTGTAACATTTTATATTAAATTATGTGTGATGGTCAGTGTTATTGAGCCTAAAAATGGACCATATTAGCATAAGAATTGACAACTGTTTTATTTCTTCATGTTACTATGATCATAGTGTGTTAGGTTTGCAATTTCTTTCATCATTAGAACAGTTTTATTGCATGGTTAACAGCTCCATACAGGTGAAGATATTTTGTTTTATATACAGTTTAAAGTCCTAAATCTGTATTATTAATAACCAACATTGCTCAGCTGAACCATGTCAAACCCACATTTTCTTTGATCCATAGCTAATAATCTGATGGTTTAATAATAAAAAAATGCTAGATTCAACTGATGTTATACTGTCAGTACTGTTAACTCCTTACACTGAAAGTTAATATATTTTAGACCACCAAATAACTGTATTTTGTAATATGAAGAACAAACAAACAAACAAGAGCAAAGATGTCAAAATAGCTTTGCTCTGGTCTTGAGGTTAGATTCCATATTAGTTAATAGTAAATAAATTAATTATTGCAAGGATCAAGCAAAAACTATATTTAACCACACAACTAAAATTCTTTCTCCTCGTTGGCCACCGTTAGTTAAATTCACCAAACTCCACTTAATATCCACATTAATTCATTTCTTTTGGTGGTTCTGTGAGGGAGGTGTGGGATGTCGATCAAAAGTATTATAGTTCCAAACAACTGCATTAAAAAAAAACTTATTTAAAGCTGTCAGAATTTTGTGGTTGATAAAAATGTAATTTGACATGTTTTCCTGCTTTCCCTTGAATAACATCTTAAAATAACAGTATTCTATGATAATTGCTCATATTATCTGAAATACAAAGTTGCTTTAAAGATCACACCTTAATGTGCTGGTTCCAGATGTACAGTGAACTAGATTCTATAAAAACCAGAAGTATTTCAACTTTTTGTATATTTTAAGCAAAATATTATTTATAACAATAGCCTGTGGTAAGAATTAGTTATTCTAATTTGTATGTTTAATAATAATAATTACCACATTGAATATTATTTAAGCAAAAAAATATCATCTTACATAGAAGAATATTTTAGTAATTAATGTTTGTGCATATGACAGTCTACCAAACAGGTAATGGTAGACATTAAATATATCTGCCATAAAAACTTAAACTTCTGGTTTCAGTACAGTAGCTGTTCTAGTAATAAATAGATATAAAAAATCATGCCGTAACAGATGTAGAAATTACAAAAGGTACAATTTTGGAGGAAAATAACAGCAACAGTAGTTTTCAGATTACCCCAGTAATAACACCTGTAGTTTGATTAAAGGGGAGAATCCAGGTGCTATAGCCCACACTATCCTGAGTCCCACTGTCCATGGCCACTAATAAGCACGATCTTCACCCGAGTACCAATTAATCTAGAACAATACGATAATATAGCAATCCATTACATATATATGTTTCTGCAAGTGAATATTCATTTTTATCAAATCTGTTATTACCCTAATTCTAAAGCTGTTTGATTGCTTCCTTTTAAAATTTATACTCTCAAGCTATCATGATCACACTGAATTTTGTTAGAATCCATTTTTCTTTCATTATTACATTTTTCCCATGTAATAAGTCTCTTCACAAGAATACTGTGTAAACAACACTACCCCAACATCTTTTTCTTGTACAGTTGGTTACATTTAATTCTGTATACAGTATTTACAAATTTATTTTGAAAATACCATAAATAACTTTCATCTTATATTATTTACTTGGCTGAAGAAGAAATGAGATATAGTAGAGATGTCCAAAAAATATTTCTTTGACACTTATGTGGTTTTATTGTTTATAACAAGATTTATGTACAAGAAAAATTATGGTGACTCCAACCCGTGTAATTTATACATGGTGTTCTTATCCCTTTTAACATGGAAAGGAAAATGTGAACTTTTTTGACATTTCTAAAAAAAAATATGAGCAATTACATACAAATCCCCGATGTTCAAACTTTCTTTATTCTGGCATATATTTTAAAAAAGATCAAAATTGGTGTACCATATATATATCCATTAGGCTTTTGGGTAGCATTTTTTACTTGTGAACTTTAGTTTAAACATCACTCTCTGTTGGAGTATTTCAGTACACACACCCCTGATAAGTAATTTTTCTTACCAATTTGAATTGTTAGGATCTGGAACTATATATTCTATTCTTATGGGTATGTGCTCTAGTTATATCACACCTTTATAGATTCTTGAATCTTTCATTGTTAAGGAGTGGCAATTCTTGGAAAATACAGTTTATTACTGTTACCAAAGTATTATTACATCTTACCTTGCATATACTGGATTGGCCCGATTATAAGGTGATGTTTTTTGATTAATAATTAGGCTGTAAAATTCATAGTCACCTTATAATTGTGGCAGACCACAGGTCCCTTCCCTTTACACTAGCCTGTCACATTCCTGAATGTCCAGATAGCATCCATCTATGCATGTGCACCAGATGTTTGCTTATCTTGCAACTAATGTACCTGCAGGCAGTTCAGTTATAGTATAGATTTTGCTGACCTAAAAGAGCGTGTTATTACACTCAATTTTATTCTTTCCCATGATTTAGGAAAGTGAAGGTCACCTTAATTCATGGTATGATATAACAAGTATTTCTGAAACATACAGCAAAGAGCCCAACATGGCTTTGCCCTAAAACACATTTCAGTTGTACATAATGCTGATGTTAACCTCAGCCACCATCTTACAATGAAACAAGTATTAGCAATCTGAAGCCTATTTAGGATAGTATTAAAATATTTTACTGTTAATAAAACTTCAAATGCACAATAAGTATGATGAAATTGTTTTATTTACATTAAATTGTATTACAATTTCATAATACTAATTTTCTTTCCACCTAACTTCAGACACCTGTTTTACACAAGACCTCATTGTAATTTTTGTAAAGAAACAAAATTTTGATATAAAAATTAAGTTCTAAATGTGTATTAAATTTTGGGATCTAAGTTTTACAGGTTAGTGAAACATGTTCTTAATGGATGCGCACCTTCTGCGACAGGGTTGTAGATGAAATAGTTTGATATCTTCCAATTCTTCTGCAAGAAATCAACAAATGCACTAACATTGATCCCAGGAATTTTGAAACAATTTTTACCTAAAGTTTCATGAATGTTTGTTGAGAAGAATCCTTGACCTTTATGTGCAATCCCTGAAAAGAATACCTTTAATTTTTTTGCAATCAGCAATTAAATGAAAAATGCCCTACATATTAAAGTAACAGTGAATGTTTTTCTTTAAATCAAAATACATTTAATCTTAAGGAAAATACAATAGTTTACAATAATTAATTACCAAGTGTTTCTTGATGTAACGATGTTTAAAATAATTTATAAATCTTACTATGAAATATCCTTAAATTTTTACAATATTAATCCTTCCAAGACCTCCAAGGAAAAGCATTTCTTCTTGTGCATACATGGCAACAAAGCTGAAACATCCATCACTGGAGTGGAACCCGAAGTAAAAACATGGAATAGATCCTTTCCACTTCTTGATTTGCAACAAACCAAACAATTGATGTGAATAACTACTGTGCCTTAGTTTCTTCACCATAGCATTTTAATTGGATGTAATTATGATGGCAAAGAATTATAACTGAAACACCCAGAGGGAGTCGTAGTCTGATGGAGATGTTAGTCTCTAAAGATGATGAAGCTAATATACTAGTAGTAGTTTTTCCATGATTATCAAATTGGGGAGCCTGTCTACTTTCTTCCTAAATTTCCATTGCTTGGATTAGCTGGCTATGTTGCTTTCTATTTTGGTAATATCCTAATGAAAATAATTTACAGTATAATATCATGATCAAATACCAAGAAGACACCATGCAAGTACAGATTAACCTTTAAATTAGAAACAAAAATATAACATTAAATTTCAAAAACTTGTACTTTCGAGTCTTCCTAAAATATTACTACTGAAAAAATCCAGAATTTCATCAAAATTTACCATAAACCTAAATCAGTGTTTAATCTAATTTACCCCTTGGAATAATTCAAGAAATAATCCTAAACCTAACAAGACAACTTGAGAGAAAAGAATGTTCTGAAAAGGTTTGCTGTATTATCTAATCATATGGTGACCTAGTTAATGAAAAGCTGGTATCAGACTTTTTTCATAATCACTAACATCATCTGAAACACGGACAAAGTTTCTCATCACAACCAGCTTGATCATATTCTAAAGAAGTTCAATAAAAATTGTGTAATAGTGAGTGACAGTGGTTAAAATATTTGTGCATAAAGTATGAGTGAAATTTTATATTAGGAATTATTTTGTGAAAATATAACTTAAACCTATGAACAAAAAAACAACTATTAAGAGAACAGGTTTAAAAAAGTAGTGTTATTTTTAGCTAATGAAATAAAAATAAAATTATATTTTAACATTTTCAACTCTTCCAGTTTCATAATCTATGTGTTTGTATTAGTATGTTGCTCTTTTGAGGCTTATAAACATTAGGAATAACCAATAAAATCCAACTCTTTCAACAAAAACTTAACAACCAAATTTTACCCAGAATTGTTCAGAATGCAATAATCACTTTTTTTTTCTTTATGGTATGGTCAACTTTGATAAAACTCACTAAAAACATAAGTATGTCAAAATTTATTGTTACCTTGTAATATTTTCTTTAGGGCCTACTATGTTTTTTTTGGTCAAATGGTTGATCTCCAGATCTAGTTCATACAAAAAAGAAAACTGAAGGTACTATGCCATTCATAAGTTCTTGTTTACCTCATTATGAACAAAAATCTCATTCAATTTAAATCAAACCTAAAATAAACAAAGTCTGTTCTCTAACTAATTAATGCTGGTGTCAGAAATATTTGATAATCATTTGTATCATCTGAAACACGGACAAAGTTTCTCATCATAACCAGCTCAACAGTGTCTACAATTCAACTTCAAATTTCAGATTACATGTACACACCTTCCTTGATAAAGTTCAATAAAGACAACTGTTAGATCATATTTACCTGTAATACTCACACTTCTATAACTGAATGACCTAAACATTCCTTGATAAAAGCCCCATAAAAGTCTTACAGTGCTATTTAACATGTATTACGAATTTTATATCAGTTACCAACTTTTCATGTTATCCTACATTGATGATTTCAAAAGATACACACTTAGAAGGTTGTAGAGGTTATAGAATGCAATCTGCATGAGAGACAAAACTATCTTTATTCTTTACACAAACATCTCCATGCACTGAGACTCATCTCAGCCAGACTAGTTGATTATAATCTATCTCTACAGAAACTTAAAAACTTTCAACTCTAAATATAGGAAATGAAGTTTGTCAAGTACCATTATGTGTCAATTTTCAAACATCCAATAATCTTTTTGCTTATATACAAGAACATCAAACAACTTACCATATAATCCACTGCAGGACATAGTGCTAAGACATTTTTGTCATTCAAACATTCTTAAACATTTGGAAGAAAATCCTCCTGAAAACAAAGATGGGGTATAATCATTAATTAATATTGGTACTTAACAGGAAGTTTGACTCTTAATTAAATCATAGTAAAGTTGGATTAATTATTAGCTCTGTAGAAGTAAAATAGTCCACAGTCAATATTATAGTTTTAAAAATACACAGTCGAACCTTCAAATTAAAATTATTTTAAGTAATAAAATTAGGTACAAATAGCTTTCAAGTAAATATTACCACTGTATTACAAAATCTTTCCAAAAACCAGTATCATAAAAAAAAATGCATTGATTGATAAATATTATATTGTACAAAAAAGTAATATATTTTTTCTAAAATGCATAATTTACAAAAAGACCAAAAATTGGGTCCCAAATTTTCCTTGGGCAAGGTTGAGATAGCCCATCGCACTTTCTGTTAACTCGTAGGACTTATTTTTGGTTCCTAAGCATCAGGTATTTGGCAACTCTTTTTCTACAGAACCTAAAATCTAATTATAAATAGCTTATATCAGCCAAAGGTATGATTTTTCATTAAATAAACACATAAAATTAAAAATGGAAAGGTTGTTCACTGTAGAATAAAAACAAGCCAGTACATAGCTTAGAAAAATAACTCACAAAAAAAACTACAATGCACATCTTTCAATAAGCATTTGAAAAGGTACAACACAACTTGTCACAAAAATTATCTCTACAGGTGTGAGTAGTGTTTCCATTAATTCTTTCAATACACGGTTGGTTAATGTAACGACCTCATAACCATTTTGTGGTTGTTATAGTTTTCATGCTATAAGTTTTAAATTAGTAAGCGAATGTTAACGAAATTTGGCAGATTATCAGTAAACATGACAATGCTTTCATATGCACAATATCTAATTTTTTTATTAAGTCGTAAGGTTTGTATAGCAATGTTTCTCTCACCTTCCTTTTTTCTTTTTATATCTTGCCTATGTACCATGCAAATTAATTTTCATTTTAAGATTAAAAATACTTTTATGCATCAGAATATTTTGAATTATCACATCTTTATAATGTCTAGATTATATATGTTTCTTAAGAAAAACTTTATATTTTATCTGTAATTTTCAGTAATTAATCTCTGTGCAGGTTTGGTAGATTTGAACAATCTCACAACCACCATAAAAATTAGGAAATAAACACAAATTATGCCTCTATCATTCTAGAATGAACACAAATTATTACACGAAAACATAAATGTTTAGACAAAATAGCTTAAATCGCATAACATTATATAGTGATTATCTTTATCATATTGACCTTTCAGTCGTGCCTGGCTACAAGTACAGAAATTACAATAATGTGACACACGTGCACTCATGTTACTGTATCCAATAACATAAAACTGACCTTTGTTGTGTACAAAGTAACTTGTCTTGGCTGTATTTTAGTAGACTAGTATTTTGTAAAGAAGTCACATTTCAGTTATTATACATTATATATGTATATAGATTATTACTATTTTGACTTATTTTTCCTTAAAACATAGAACAACAAATAAAGAATTAAAGCAAACAATTATTTCTTCTAGTTACGACCTTTGTACTCGGTTGCTGCTTGACATAGGTTGCTAAGCCTTCAAAGATTTTGCACGTGGAGGATATGAAACAAAATATTTTCTTAGGTTTTATATATATATTTGAATAACTAAAAAAATCATAAGTTACTACATCAATACCATAGAATTCCACTATAATTTATCAAGCTTAGTAACTAAGATGTATTTTAAATTCGATGACGAGGAACCCACTTTGGTACCTGATGATGACAAAACCTTGTCGAAACGTTGTACATTTGCAGTTATGTTAAACTTATATTAAAGTTTTTCTTCATTACCCATTCAAGCCGTCTCCAGCCATTATTAAGATGTATTTTACTCTTTCAAAAAATATGAAATTTTCGGCAGACTAAAGACACAACCTACCTCATTGAAATCTTGATTCAAGAGAAAGAAAGGGCGCTAGCCACGTTAGAAAAACTGAGGAAACCACTAGGGGGACATTCTGAGCTTCCGATTGATTATTCATGTCATATATAAAAGTGTATATAAGGGAGCGTTTTCAAAATGGAAAGAAGTGGGCAGGGTGCCATCGTGTTTGCTTGATTACATAAGCAATATCTTAGCAAATAGAAAAGATAAGACCTTCTTAGTTTATATTCTAACTTTTCAATATCTGTTATTTGAGTTTCTAATTCATACCAAACTATAGACTTAGTATTTTTACTTCACAAACATCTAATTTGAACCAGTGTGGCATTCAACATACTATGTGACACATAAAAATCAATGTTTATCTGTGTGTTTTTTAATATCTACTTTTAAATTAAGAAATTGTGTAATATATACTTCTAAAATTTGAATTATAACCTATAGTTTCATACCAAACTTATTGGCATAAATTCATGAAGTACGAAGGAAGCCACAGGAATTCGATGGGAAGGCACCGTGGGAAGCATATAGAGACAACAAGAAGAGCAGTCATTATACAACCATGAAGTGAAGTATTCACACCAGGACTTGTTAAAATAAATTTAAATTTAGTGACTGAGATGTGATAGAACCAAACACTCCAGCATGTTTTAAAGGATTAATGGTTGGTAGAGCTTTTATTGGACCTGAAAAATAAAGATGTTGTCATTAGGGCAATGAAAACAGCAAACCATAAAATCAACGTCAAATCTGGATGGAATATTGCAAAATGAGAGGCTGTACGGGTAATACTTCCACATCCAAGATCATCAGAAGTAGTCACCTTTGAGGAATACTATAGGAAGTTTGATGTCATACCCTTACATAATGACAGCTTACCACCTAACTTGTAAGAATTGTATTGCCAGAGCTATCAGGGTCTTACAGCTTATCAGCACCAATGGTTACATAACTTGTTCACTGAATATGAAGACACCTTCTCCAGAGGACCTCATGACTCAGGCCGAACAAATAAAATATCTCACAAGATTTATACTGGAGATGCAACCCCAATACATTAATTAGATCAACGATTTGCACTTGCAAAACAAGCTGAGGCGTTCAGAAGAACAAAATCAATGAAAGAACAGGGAGCAAACTGAGTACTTTTCCTTGAGCATCAGCTATTGCACTTGTGAAGAAGAAGGATGGATCCATAAGGTTTTGCACAGACTACCAGAAAGTGAATGAAGTTACACAAAAGGATACCTATCCAAGGACTGACTCTATCTTGGATGTTCTATTAGGTCAAGATAGTTTTCATCATTCGACCTTAAGAGTGGATATTGGCAAGTGGAAAAAAACAAAGCTAGTTGAGAGAAGACAGCCTGTGCTACAAGAAATGGATTGTGGCAATTTTTCATATTACTATGTGGATTATGTAACACTCCTGTTATGTTCCAACGGTTAATGGAGTGTGCTCTCTGAACAACCATGAAACACTATACTCATCTAATTGGATGACATAATCGCACCTGGGAATACCTTTGAAAATGCTTATGAAAGGTTCTGATTTGGTTGAGGAAAGAGAATCTTAAGCTGAAACCCAATAATTGTGAATTAACCAAGTAACCTGCATGAAGTAAGGGTATTTCTTGGATTGTGCTCTTACCATCACCTAATGAAGCTCGTCCCGTACACATGGTATTCGAGAAGCTAAATAAGTTTTGTTGGACTGCTGATTGTAAACAAACATTCAACAAACTAAAGAAGAATTGAATATGATTCCCATATTGACATACCCAACTCTGAAAGATCCATTTATTTTAGACACAGATCATAGTGTTTTTGTAGTGGGAGCAATTTTGCCACAAGTACAATGTAGAAAAGAGCATGTGATTATCTGCTGTAGCAAGGCAATGAATGTCACAAAAAGGAGGTATTGAATAACACAAATGAGTTATTAAGTTGTTTTATTTTGCCATGAGCACTTTCATCAAGGTATCTATATGGACAAACGCTTATGCTCTGGACAGATTATGGACCATTGAAGTGACTGGTGAATTTTCATAATCCAGAAGGCCAAATAGCAAGATGGCTTAAACAACTCCAGGAGTACAACTTTAACATCATACACTGTCCTGATGGAACCATAGAAATGCTGATGCATTGTCCCAAAGACCATATATTAATGAAGAGTGTAAACACAATGCAAAAAGGAAGCATTTGATAGAAAAGATGACCAACCTAAAGTACAACAATGTATAGTCCAAAATATGGCATCTGCCAAGTCCCGACTGAAAGCTGCTCAGGCAAAGATATTAGTATAAAACCAATTATTCAGTGGCTCAAGAACAGTGCAGAAAAACCTTCATAGCAAAAGTTATTGCATGCACTCCAAACAAAGATGTATTGGGCACAGTTGGCTTCCTTTTTCTTACAAGATGGCTTATTTTGTCGGAAATGAGAAGATACCAGTGGATGAAAGTAATACCTACATTTAATACTTCCACAGCTCCTACATCCCAAAGCACTCTGCACATCTCCACGACCTTCCAACAGACAGACACTTAAGTGTTAGAAATACACTGATGTGAGTAAGAAAATGCTTATACTGAGTTGGATGCTGGGAGTCTGTGGGGAATTAGTGTAAAACGTGTTGTTACATCTCCGTTTGTTAATTGATTTTCCGTAACTTCGTTCCGACGAAATTTTAACGACA